CATCTCCGACATTGGTGACCGATTGTCCTCGACATTTTGATCTTGTTGGATGACATTTTGGACTACCATATCGGTGACCTATCGGATTCTATCTCGGTGACCTATCGGTGTTGTTTCCCTCCCCACCTCCTTCGTCTTTCCTCCCACCTTCATCTGTGTATGTGTGTACAGGATTTGGGCATCGTCTATGCTTGGCCCAGACCCCACCATCTCACGATTGTATGTGTGTGGAGTGATGCTATGTGAGTCAGTCTATGTGAGTCAGTCCATTTATCAGACTTCCGCTGCATATATGCTCATCCTACATTCGTTGATCTTTGGTTCTGCCCATACTCATTGAAGTATGTAACAGTTTTGGTATCGGCGCAGACCATTTTACGGATCTGCTCACCAGGTAAGTCTGATTAGGAATTAGATTGCTTTCTCAATCTTCCAAATCAGCGCGGTATTACTATCAAGTTCAAAGTTGCAATTTTTTTTATTTTTTTTTCGGTATTCTATTTACTTCGGCATCTCCGTTTCAATTCGTTATTCGGACTTGTATTTCGGATTTCTGTCTTATTTCGGTATGTTGTTTATTTAGGTTCCAATTAATTAATACTAATCCGATACTTGATTAGGTTCGGGTTTCCGAGGTTAAAACATGATTAGGGTTGAATCAGTATCCGTGGAAATTCGGCATTCTGATTTTTCTATTTCAGCATTCCGTTTTTGAATTCGGCATTCTGTTGTAAATCCTACATTTCGTTTTTTCTTTGGTATTTCCGTTTTGTTTTCAGTATCGGAAATTAGGGTTACGAATATTGGTTGTTCGATTCAACTTGGGAATTTCGAACGTTTTGGAACCGTAATACCGAAAATTTCGCGGAAACGCGAAAAATTAGGGTTGGGCCCGAAATTTTCGCGAATTTTTTTTTATTTTTTTTTTTCGTTCCCCTTGTTGGAGAAATTCCGAAAACGGGTTTAAGCCTTTAAAAATCGGATTTTGACGGTGGAAATTCCCAAAAAATCATGTTTTTGAAAAGTCGAGTGTTTTTCCTTCAGAATTTTTCAGAATTTTTTTCGAGCAAACTAATCCGAATCTGACCCTCAAACTGCAACTTCCGGGTAGTTCACTAAATTGTGGTGAACTCCCGGACCATCATTGATCTCAACAGATACCTAATCTAAATATAAATTCAAATTCGTTCATTATCATTATTGCAAACATTGTTTATAATTATCATCATTATTGCAAATTTTGTTATTTGAAGAGTTATTATTTCGTATTAATCATTAATTCATTTTTTTAATTAAATAAATCGTGATTAATTCCTTATTACGAATTTTTGAATTCTTTACGGGAAAATTAATTTTCTATTTTGATTAGGTGTCTACAGTCCATCAATGGGACAGGGGACTGTATGCGAATTGTTTGACTGTTCTACCCCTATTCCCACCCTCCCTACCCTCCCCGTACTCTGTGACCAGCGGGTTTCTCAAGTACCACATCAGCTAGCACTGATGTCGATGGAACAAGACACCGGGGCACTGCCACGACGCAGTGCCAGGCTTGCAGGGCGTGCCCGTTCTGTGATACCTCTCCGACGCAGGACTCAGCGACTCATCAGCAGGACGACTCCAGCGGCATCGAGTACAGCATTGACGGTACCGGTTACCACCGGAGTTCTTCCCGCATGCCCGGTCCAAAGGGTCGGTGAGTCGTTGGCAGATTACCTTCAGCGGGTACAGGCATTCACTGATGCCGTAGCAACCGCAAAGGCATAGGAGGAAGCAGAGGCGGAACGTCAACGGCTGGCCAAAGAGACAGCAGCCCAAGCTCAACAGACTGTTGAGGATGACGCAGCAGCACGGGACCAACGGAATGCCACCAGCACGGAATCCCTGATTCATATTGAGAATCAGTGGACAACGATCCTCGAGGGCATGATCTTTGTGCCTTCGGAAGAGCAGGCAGATCCGACACCGGCGGAGGCATAGAGGACGCACCTGGCTAACGTGATGTTGACAATGATGCGAGTGATCATGTGGAACAATACGATGTTAGCAGTACAAATACACAAAGGCAGACAACTGCAACAGATTCAGCAGAAGGATTTTGCAGCCTTGTGAGCAGCTGCTCGCACTACCGCCACACATTAGCAACAACAGCAACAGCTGTGGAACACCACCACCGCATGCGTCAGCAGCATCGAGGCTAAGGCCGCAGCAGCGCCAGGCTACACGACAGACGAGACGAAGCAACTCAACGGGCGCATCGATCACGTCGTCAAGCTCATCGGCGACATAGGTGTTTTCAATGGGCCAGCCACGATCAGTAGCACAGTGGCCGCCATCAAGACGGACATCACCAAGCTACAGACGAGATCGGACGCCGCGACGAAGAGTTACAAGATGCCACACTTCGACATCAGCAAGTTCGACGACCACAACAAGATGGACGCCTTGGCATGGTGGCAACGTTTCCTTACGGTAGCATCCTGCCGCACTGTCCCAGACGACTACATGATGAAGACGCTATACCTACAACTGATTGGAGGAGCGCAGGCATGGATGAACCACCTGGCGGCTACCCACACATGCACCATTGTCGAACTTCACACGCGCATCACGTGGAAGGAGTTCGAGCAGCTATGGTTCACCCGGTTCATGGTCCACAACGTCGTGAAGGCGGCCGTGAACAAGGTGTACACCCGCTCTCAAGGAAGTATGCCAACTCGAGACTGGACAACCAAGTGGTAGAAGATAGTGACCACGCCAGGTTTCAATTTGACTTTTCTAAATCAACGATCCGAGTTATTTTCGCGATTGTGCGCAGGATTGCGGTCAGCACTCGGTAATGAGTACGACTATACCTCGTTCCAGGCTATCCTGGATCGCGCAAACCTGGTCATCCAAACGGACGACAAGGCCTCTAACGAGAGACAATCCCAACCGCATTATGTGGCTAAGCAGGGCTATCAACGTCCGGCACATAACAATGTCGTAATTTCTGAAGGAACAGACAATCTCCACGCTGCAGCAGCATCCTCGAGTGATGGAGGAATTGTAGCRGCGCTCCCGCCGAAGCGTCCCAAGAGAGTTCGGAAGAACAAGGCGACACAAGAGACGGCATCGACGGGAACTGGGCAGCAACCATGGACGGCTTACAAGATAACAAAGGATGTCTATGACCTTCATCAAAAGTATGGATACTGCCTTTGGTGCAACGGCGTCACTCATTTGACCGCACAATGCCCCGAAAAGGGTAAGGCACGTGTACCCCATCCAGCAAACTCGGGAAACTGAGTTACGCAAGGAGAGGGGCGACGTCTCTCCTCACTCCGCCGGAACCGGTTGCCTTGCTAGCAATCGATGTCACTACCGGGGAGCATGCGTTAGTCGCTGATTCTCGTGCTACGTACGAGGATTATGCCGCCCAGCTGGTACCACCATTAGACCAGCCAAGCCAAGTGCATTTAGCTAGCGTATGCGCAGCCTGTACACCGTCGGCAAGTGATCCGGTCAGTTTGCCACTGATTTTCGAGGACTCGACAGCGTGGTAAAGACTTGAGGAGCTTGACCCGCTCATGAGAGAGGACTTCGCTTGGATGCCTCTACCCTCGACCGTAACCTTGCCAAGGCCGCATTGCAACGCCTTGATGGCAGATTTACGCTCTTATTTGCACACTACAGTACCAGCTCCGTTGACGGACGACGGGGTAGCGGTTGTCGATCTCCGCTTCTATCTTGCGAAGATTGACCGCGAGTACGTCACCCAAAGGTACGCCGAAACCGACGCGTCTTTGCTCTATATCCGCATTCAGATCGGAAAGGCAACCTGTAGTGCCTTGATTGATTGCGGAGCGTCTCGCAACTTTATGAGCCAAGCGTTTATGGCCTGCGCAGGTCTTGGCCCGCGCGTTCGAAGGAAGACGCAACCTACGCAAGTTACACTCGCGGACGGCCGCACGCAAAAGTCAATTGACCGATGCGTTGACGGCGTTCCCGTCTACTTTGCGCCACTTGCTTGCGAGCCGGTGTCTTTTGACATCCTCGACACCAAGTTCGACATGATTCTAGGCATGTCTTGGTTGCGTAGCGCCGACCATCCGGTGAACTTCCACGACCGGACCGTTCACATCCGTGATCGGAACGGAGTGTTAGTCCCATGTACGGTCCCGACCCCTCACACTTCGATTGCTTGTCACGTGGTTTCCGTTGCGAGAATTGCGACGCCATAGCTCGAAATGACATCTAGGAGATGGGTCTTGTATTCTTGCATGCTCTCCCCTCGCCGGACGGACCAGCCGCATCACCACCGGACCCACGCATTTCTCACCTCTTGGACGAGTATRGAGACGTCTTCGAGGCTCCCACCGGAACGGTTCCGAATCGGCCCATACGTCACGGGATCACTCTTGAGGCTGGCGCCATCCCTCCGCGTGGATGTATCTACCGCATGAGCGAAGAGGAACTCGAGGTGCTTCGCGCACAACTCGATGACCTTCTCGACAAGGGCTGGATTCGCCCTAGTTGCTCGCCATACGGTGCCCCTGTTCTCTTCGTCCGGAAGAAGAACAAAGACCTACGGTTATGCATCGATTATCGGAAACTTAACGCACAAACCATAAAGAACGTCGGCCCCCTCCCTCGGATTGATGATCTCCTTGAGTGGTTAGGCGGCGCGACGTACTTCTCGAAGTTGGACTTGAAGTCAGGTTACCACCAGATCGAAATCCAGCCTCAAGATCGGTACAAGACCGCGTTCAAGACGCGGTACAAGCATTTTGAGTGGGTTGTCATGCCTTTTGGCCTCACCAATGCCCCCGCAACTTTTCAAGCAGCTATGACGACTGAGTTTCACGACTTGCTCGATCGCAGCGTCCTCATCTACCTCGATGACATCTTGGTCTATAGCAAGACGTTGGACGAGCACATCACACACCTTCGCGCTGTTTTGAATCGTTTGCGACTGGCCAAGTACAAAGCGAACCGCGACAAGTACGAGTTCGCCAAGCAAGAGCTTGAGTATTTGGGCCACTATGTTACGCCAAAAGGCATTCGTCCATTAGCGAACAAGATCCAAGCCATCGTGGATTGGCCGGAACCCCGTTGTATGACGGACGTACGCTCTTTCATGGGATTGGCTGGATATTACCAGCGATTCGTCGAGTCATACTCGAAAGTGGCCGCTCCTTTGTCGGGACTTCAGTCCCCGAAGGTGCCCTTCGAGTTCGACGACGCAGCCCGTGGCGCRTTCACTACGTTGAAGGCAGCGATGCAAGCCGCACCTGCCCTCCGTATATACGACCCCACCCTACCCACCCAAGTGACTACGGACGCTTCGGGATACAGGATTGGTGCAGTGTTGGAACAGTGTCACGAGGACGGTTGGCATCCGGCCGAGTATTTCTCCCAAAAGGTGCCTCTCGTAAACACTCTCGACGACGCTAGGAAGAAAGAGCTACTCGCGTTCGTCACCGTTCTCAAACGGTGGCGCCACTTTTTTCTCGGCCGTCGGCGTTTTAAATGGAATACGGACAACAATCCGTTGACCTTTTACAAAACGCAGGATACGGTCACTAGTACGATCGTTCGATGGATGTATTACATCGACCAGTTCGACTTTGACCCGTGCCACATTCCCGGTCCCRYCAATCGAGCTGCGGACGCCCTCTCACGACGGCCCGACTTTTGTGCCATTGTGACCACGGCATTCGACCTCGATGACGATCTGCAACCGCATTTCGTCAAAGGCTACAAGTCCGATCCGACTTACTCTACGCTTTACGCGGAGCTTTCATCGAATCACCCGCCGGCTAGCCACTATCGGATTTCCGACGGGTTCCTTCTCCTTCACACGAGAGGAAAGGACTTGTTAGTTGTGCCCCAAGATCGCATCTTACAGACTCGTCTTCTCGGCGAATTCCACGAYGCACGACTTTCGGCACACCTTGGCGTGAACCACACACTAGCACGCCTCCGCCAGCGTTTTCACTGGCCTGACGTCCTTCATGACGTCACGAGGTACATTGAGTCATGTGCAGTTTGTCACCGTAACAAGGGTCGATCTCGAGCCCCTTTCGGCGAACTCAAACCGTTGCCGATCCCTCGGGCACCACGCCTCTCCATTGCTATGGACGTGACAGGCCAATTTCCCCGTGATCACCACGGCCATGACGGTATTCTCACGGTCGTTGACCGTTTGAGCAAGTATGCTCGCTTCCTTCCTTGCAAGTATCATGCTGCAGCACCCGAGCTCACACGACTCTTGCACGCCGGTTGGATTACCAACAGGGTGTTCCGGAAGACATAGTGAGCGACCGAGATACTCGCTTCATGTCAACCTTTTGGACTTCCCTCATAGCTGAGTCCGGTACGACAATGAAGCCGAGCTCGGCTCGGCACCCACAGACGGATGGCCAGACGGAGCGAGCACCAGACCGCTCAGATGATGTTGCGTACGCTCCTCCGTCCCGACCAGAAAGATTGGGTTGACCGGCTTCCCGACATCGAGTTCGCCTATAACACTTCGGTGCACCCGGCGATCTGCGTCACACCATTCGAGCTACATCATGGTGGAGAGAAAGCACGGATCTTCGTTGATCTCCTTCTACCACAGGCTGCCGACATAGACGTCCCTTGCTCCCCCGCTTCCGTTCGGAAGTACCGGGACTTGCTGATCAAAGCCCGCGCAAATATGCAAAAGGCTCAGATCTGCATGCAGCTGCATGCAGCAGCAGGCTAACTGACGTCGACTTCCATGTCCTTTCCGCGAGGGAGACCTTGTTTGGGTCCTCTCCGAGGAATTTGCGCTCGAGCAGGACGTTTCGCGCAAACTCCTTCCGAAATGGTTCGGACCATGGGAAGTCACTTCTGCCGTTGGAGACGAACCCGCAGGTCCTTCCTTCGTGATCAACATTCCACCGCACCTTACAGTGCATCGGGTCTTCCACGCATCGAAGCTGGCCATCTACACGCCACCTTCAATTGACGAATTTCCCGGACGTCGATCACAGGATCCGCCTTCTATGGACGGACATCAGGAAGTGGACCGAGTCATCACGCACCGCAAGTATGGCAACAAGCCAATGCAGTACAAAGTCACATTCAAGCAATGTGCGCCTGACGACACTCGGTGGATCTCGAGTGTAGACTTGCAGACTTCTGCACCCCTCATCTTCGCCAACTATGAGAAGACACGACTTGCCAAGGCAGCGGCTCGTCCCACCCGACCCATCCCGGTATCGGACAGACAACTCCGCCCTGGCAGGTAGCTCGGTCTTTTAAGAGGGGGAGTGTGTTACATCTTCGACGCCACACGGGTCCTACCGGACCCGACTTAGGGCTAGAGGGACACATCAGGGCCTAAACGCCCGACCTTGGGGGTAACAGGCCGAAAGGCCACGACTTGGACCAGATTACGGACCAGGCCCAAACGACATTTCGTTTTGGGCCTGGCGGCGCCA